TGCCAGATGGGCGCAAGCCTGCAGGAAGGGGGCTTGGGGGGACGCTCCTGCCTCCCCCCAGCCACTGGCGGGGGCTGCAGCTGACCCTTCGGACTGGCCCACCCCCCCAGCCCCGCACCTCCTGCAAGAGATCCGCCTGCTCAATGGCTTTCAAGACGCTCTTCTTGGAGGTGTCCTGCACCTCTCCCCCCATCAGGAATTCATCCAGGATGAAGTAGGCTTTTTCAAAGTTGAAAATGATGTCCAGCTCGCACACCTGGGGGGAGGGGCACAAAGCAGGGAGGCCTTTGCTGGTGATCTGTGGGGGAGCAGGAGTGCCCTGCCCATCCCACGGCACAGCTGCCAGGCCCAGTTCCAGGCCTGGGGAGGAAGCGGGGCCTGGCATCGGCAGACCCAAGCAACAGCCACGGGTCCAGGTTTCATGAAGGCGTGAGGCAGAGATCGGGGTGCTGCCAAGAGCTGGCCTGGCAGAAGGAAGCAGCAGCAGCAGCAGCAGCAGCAGCAGCAGCAGCAGCAGCCCTGTTGTGGGGCACGGAAGGGGGGGCCACGAAGCAGTCAGGATCGACGCAAGGAAGGAAAACTGCAACTTCCTAGCCACCTCCGGCTCCGGCGGACACACTCACACTGCCAAAGTATTTGTCTAGCAGCTCCACATATCGATGGATGAGCTCCAGGGTGATCAGCTCGTTGTCCTGCCCCTCGATGGCACAGCAGAAGTACAAGCTGGCATACCTGGGCCAGAGAAGAAGAAAGCAGGGGCTGAGAGTCTCCCCCTCACCCCACAGCAAACACCAAAGCGCAGCCCCTTCCAGAGGGGAGGGGCAGAGAGGGGAGGATCCGCCCCCCCCCCAGGAAGCGCTGCATTCTTATCAGCCATGGGAATGAGACCGCAGCCAGCGAGAAGCCCCAGAGGCACCTCCTCTGAGGGGAGAGGAGTCCCACTAAACCATCCTCAGGACACAGCCCACCCCAACAGGTGGAGCACCCACCTCCTCGGGAGAGAGGCCAAGCGGCACTCAGGGCACCACTTAAAGGGCCAGAAAGCACACTGCCACTCCCTGAGGGTTAGGTTTAGGGTCTTGCAAAGTCGGCCCAGCTGCCCGTGGGGAGGACACAGGATGCACTCGATGCCAGCTTCGCTGAGGTCTTGCTGCTCCAACAGCCCCAAGCAGAGAGGGAGTGGGTAGGGCCAGGCCGTCTCCTGTCCCCCAGACCCTGCCTTTTGGCATCCCCACTGGGCGCACGCAGGAAGGGAAGGAACAGGAAAGCACACACACAGAACGTGGCTGTGGCAGACGAATGCATGGCCTGCTGGTTCCTCCTCACAAGGCCGGACTTTGGGGAGTGGGGTGGCGGGGGCTTCCAGAGCTTCTGTCCCCTTGTAGCTTCAAGGCAGAGGACCCCCTTGCTCCCCATATAACAGGAAAGCTCCAGAGAGCAAAGGCTGCTCTGGCCCTCCTTTCACCGCCCGCTTTCTGGACCCACCAGCACCGCCTCTGCCCCCCACCGCGGAAAGCAGAAAGGAAGCCAGGGGCCGAGGAGGGGCCGTGTCGCGTGTTCTCCCACAAGGAAGGCACCCCATCCGCAGAGAGCCCCAGAGGACGCCGGTGGCAGGCCGAGCGAGCGCAGCCTCTCCCCCTCTGACGCCCCCGAGGCAGGAAGGGGCCAGCGGAGGCAGGGAGGAGTCACCTCTTGTAGACCACCTTCAGGTCCCGCCATTCCAGGAAGCTGCACATCTTGGGCTTGCGCGCCAGCACCACCTGCATGAGCTCGCGGACCATCTTCTTCTTGTCCTTGTCCGAGGTGGCCAAGTACCACTTCTGCAGACGCAGCTTCCCCTGCCGGCTGAAGAGCAGCATGAAGCGCATCTGCGGGGCACAGAGCGGGTTGGGGC